ACGATATAAAAATTGTTACATTTACAACATAAAAATTAATTATTTTTAAATAAAGCTATAAATAAATTATTATTATAGCGTTGTAAAAATGAGTGCGATGTAAACGATGTGGAAATTGTTTTCTTTTACAAAGCAGAAAGATGAAAAAATAATTACACATACAATTATTGTTGTGCTTTGTGGCAATGTAAATAATACTTCCACAATTGTGGAATCGGAATATAATCGGAGTTAATGCAGTTTCCCTTCATGGTTTCTATATAAATCTCAAGAGCCTCCATGAGCGTAAGTCGTGTCGGTCAAAGGCCCTATGCAAAAGAGTAGCTTCATCCCAACATGGGGAAACCCCTGATTTGGTAGCATACTGGGCTAGAGCAGTACTATACTTCCACTTGTACTATACTTTCACTTATACACATCATATTTGTGGTCCCATACTCTAGCCTCAAGGAATCTGTATGTAAATCCGATGTATGTTATCCAATGATTGAAACGTTCGTCATGCAAAGGAATGCTGTACACCCCTTTCAATCGTCAGATAGCATACTTTGGATCTACATACAGATCCCTTGAGGATAGAGTACCAGACCACAAATACAATGTGTCCAAGCAGAAGTATAGTACTGCTCTAGCCCAGTATGCTACCGAATCCGGGGTTTCCCCATGTTGGGATGAAGCTACTCTTTTGCATAGGGCCTTCGACTGACACAACTTAAGTTTGTTGGAGGCCCTTGAGATTTATATAGAAACCATGAAGGGAAACTGCATTAACTCCGATTATATTCCAATTCCACAATCGTGGAAGTATTATTTACATTGCCACAAAGCACAATAATAATTGTATGTGTAATTATTTTTTCATCTTTCTGCTTTGTAAAAGAAAACAATTTCCATGTCGTTTACATCGTGCTAATTTTTATAACGCTGTAATAATAATTTATTTATAGCTTTATTTAAAAATAATTAATTTTTATGTTGTAAACTTCGTTTAAATTTTTAAATATTTAAACATCATTTAAATATTTAAAAATTTGAAACACAGTTGTATTTGACGATTAGAAGTTTTTGAATGATAGAACACTTTTTTTTTTTTATGTGTTTCATACATTCCTGAGGAGAGCCTCTAAAAGACGGCCAAAAACGTTCGAACATTAAAATTTTTGTTCAATTACTGCTGGAATTAGCATTTAGGTGTGAATTTTTGTATATTAAATTAATTCAATAATTAAAAGCCTATTTCTAAAAAAGAAAAATTTTTTAATTTCTATTTCAGTTGCATCATAATGTACCTCTATAATTTTTTAAAATTATAGAGGTACATCTCTCTCTAGAGAGGAAAAATCTCTATCTATCTACATAACAGATTTTGACTATTCACTTACTGTCCTGAATTAAGTTTAGTATGTAAATAATTGAGAAATACAATAAAAATTGACACTAAAGAACCAACTTTTTTTTTTAGTAAATAATTTCCAGCATCTTAAAATATATCAAGAAAGTAAAGAAGATAATATTAAAAGAACTGTGACGTTTAGTTAACAAGGATAAAAAAGCAGAAACATTTTGAAAAATGTATATTAATGTTATATTTGAATTTCTATATATAACAGTAGATAATACTTTAATAAAGACTAGCAGGTAGGCCCAGCGTTGCTCGGGCAAAAGTAACAATAGCAAAGATTAAGATTATTATGTTATAGTCAACCTTACCCGTTTTCACAGAAGCAAGAGTTGGGTCCCCCGTTTCCAGACTAATTAGAAAATTTTCAGATGGGTCTAAAAATATCTTCAATTTCCCGCAAAAACGAAAAAAAAACTGCATCTGTGTCTTGCATGTCACTTTCTCTTAACAATTCCATTGTTATGTAACACTTCTATTGTTGATGGAAGTGTTAAGCCTTAATCCTGTCCCTCTTCCCCGGGGGAGGAATTTCAAAAAATCCCTTCTTTTTGTGTGTTTTCATGAAGTGCCCTAACTGTGTACCAAATTTCAACTTTCAACTCCTAACCGTTTGGGCTCTGCACTTATTATTATTATCATCATCATTATTATCATTATCAATTCATCTCGATTATATATATGGATAATACAGAAGATATGCCACATTATTATTCATATTATAAAGTAAACATAACTTTTGCTAATGTTGCAAAGTTAAACATTAAAAATATCTTTCGTAATTTATTTTTTTCAACAAATGTGATAAATTAAAAAATAAATGAAATAAATCTTTTAGTATATAATTTTATTACATTTAAGGTATATTTAAAAAAATGTTCTAATCATTTTTTAAATTTCTGATTAAAACATTTTACTAATAACTCATGTAGTAATCATAAATATTACTTTTCTTAATCAGTCTTGCATTAATTTTGAATGATATAAATTAAAATCATTAAACTTACTAAATGTTGAAGAGCTTTCACATGAAGTGGGTTAATAGCAACTGCATTTTGAAAACATGTTTTAGCTTCATGATATTCTCTTTTATATTTATGGATCATGCCTTTCTGTTAAAATATAAAAAAAAACAGCTTTAAAATAAATCTGATTATATTTTTTTATATAAAAACTTTGCCTCTAGATGATAATCATGCACAGGTTATAAACTCATACCATCATCTTAAGCCAATAAAATTCATATCACATTGTTTTCTGAAAACTTTTAAAATATATTTTTTTTAATATTTTACAGAGATTACATTAACTATGAATCTGTTTATCTAAGATTTTTTCTCATTCTTGATATTTGCATGGTATTATATCTAGAAAACACTTGTAGAAAAACTGGAAATAAATATACCAATCATACTACACTTTACATTAACTAGTTTAATCACAACAAACATTTTTGACCCAGTTCAGAGGTCTGCCTCAGGTTAAAAATGTATTAAAATACAAATTTAAAGAAAAGAACCAAGTTCTAATGGTAGAACTATAATGATGTAAAATCTGAAAAAGGTTTTTCAAATTTTGTAAATTTAAAAATAGCAGTTATAGTTCTACAATTAGAATTCTGTTCTTTTCTTTAATTTTGTATTTTGATAAATTTTTAACCCGAGGCAGACCTCTGAATGGGGTCAAAAACATTTGCACATTTTCCAGCACTAGTTTAATGAAAACAAAGTGCAGTGTGATTAGTATTATATTTAAGATATTATCATCAATTATAATAACAGACTTACCATAACCATTAATTGATGACACAGTGGAAATATGCTGGAAGCTTCATGAATGCACGCTTCTGCTTCTGATACCTGACCCAAATGTAAATAAAGCTCAGCTATCAGCAGCCAGATGTGTAACTGTAGTAACCAAACTGTTTGTGGACCAGGTTTGGGTTGAAAACCACCAACTGAAGATGCAACTTCTGACAGAGCTTGTTCAATTCTAGTAGCTACTATCACAGAATTTCCTAATTAAAAATAAACAAAACTACAATAAAACTATTTAATATGTAAAAATTTTCTAATTAAACAAGAAATAAATAAAACATTTCTTTCTATTACAGTAACATATTAAATTACCCGAATCACCATCAGACAGTTCTGAAGAATGCAACTGGAATACACTTTTATTCTCACTTGTGACTCTTTGCAAACCACCATCATTCATATCACTAAAAAGTAATAATCAATGCTTTTATTTATAAGTAATTTAAAATTTTATTGATATTGAACTTTTGATGATTTATCTCTAAAACTAACTGTTTACAAAACAATTTCAACTTGGTATATTACCAGACTCTTTTTCAAATTTGCTATCTTTTATAATTTAAATACCAAATTAATTATTGAAGACATAACTAAAGAATGGAAAAAATGTAAAAGATACAACTGTTTCATCCATATTTACAACTTTGAAATAATTATCATTAATCAAATTAAATACAGGTATCCCCAGTACAACATAGTTTGAAAATTAGGGATATCTCCCTGTACAACACAGTTTCTGGTTTTGCTCTAACACAATTTCAGAATTTGGAAAAAATCCTCCGTACACAAGTAAGTAAGTATTATAAAACCTTCCACTCTTTTTCTAGAAATTTCTTTAATCGAACTAACGTTTTCGGCTATATTTAATGGCCTTCCTCAGGTTCTACAATATTGGAAGGTTCCAATATGGTAGAATCTAATATCCTCCGTACAAAATTTCACAACTTTTAAGTGCAAAACGCCTTCATTTGATACTTTTTTTATTCAAGTAAGCACTCATCCTATCTCAAATTTGTATACAGGTAACCCCCATATAACAAAGGAGTTATGTTCCAGAAAATTGCCATGTTATGCGAATCTGTGTTATACGAAACAAAGAACTAGTGCAAAAAGGGGGGTTAGGTTCCAAAAATTAAAAAACATGTTGTTAAATCTTTATTTAAATCAGATTTATTATTCTTTTTTTCATAGGTAAAATACTTATTTATTATTTAAGTAAATATTTTACCAGAGGATTATTCATTTAATATGATCTCAGCATGAGCAGTATCAACTGGTAACGGTTTGTGAGTGCATTCGTTAATAGTGGTTGCTCTGCAACGGGAGTGCGCTGCTGTTTGTAGGCATTTAGAAACGACAGTGAAAGAAAGAAAGATGGCAGCGTCCGCACTATCGATAGTATCGTGATGGAGGAATCTATAATTTTAAAATATGAGCTTTTAGAGGCAAAAGAAGGGTCCCAATTGTAAAATTTAACCATTAAATGGATTATTTGTTGAAAGAGCATTCAAAGTAGCGACGAAAAAAATTAGAATGCTTGCGTCGAGTTACGCGGAGGTATAAAAGAACGCACCCTTTATTACATTTTATGTTGTATGAGGGTTTTACCCAATTCCCGAACCGTGTTAGAGTGAACCCATGCTATAAAAGCACTGTGTTATACGGGGGATGTTCCCAATTCTTGAAAAGTGTTAGAGAGAATCCTTGCTATAGAAGTCCTGTGTTATATGGGGGTTACCTGTATAGTTTTTAGAATATTAAAATTTTCAATATGTTTTGTGTTTTTCATCAGGTTTAATGAAAACTGATAGTGCAATTTTTTTATTCCTTGTTCTAACTTTCCTATCAAACAGGTATTGTTGTCTTTGCTTTCAGACTTTAGACTTTAAGACAGTCACTGTGTTTTCTTTTTATAGATTAATGTTCATATTTAGTAAAGTTTATTTAAACATTTTTAGGTAAGTGTTATTAACCTTTCTTTAACCGTAGGAAAATATCATATGAAAAATGATGAACAAAATATGGCGTTATCTCAGTACTCAACTGTTCCCAACTCAAAGAATTTGATATTTGAATGCAAATTCTAGAAAAAATTGCTTGGTCTTCAATCAAGCAAATGTGACCCAATAAAACAAATTTTTGATTAGTAACATATTTTTATTTTGTCACACATAAAAAATTTTTATGGTAAAAAAAAATGAAGATACTGTAGATATTTCTGATCAAGATCAAAAAAACTCAGATGACAATACTTTGTAAAAAGAAAACCCCTCATTTAAAATTAATATTAATGCACAATACAGTACTTTTAATTGTGATGTTTGGTTGATTATTGATTGCTTTAATAAACATATTTCTCTTAGTAACAAAAAAGAATAGTATACTTTTGTTAACTTTTGGAACTTAACCCCATGTTTTGTATTAGTCCATTGTTTTGTATAGCACAGATTCCATAAACAACAAAAAATTACAGATATGAGAAAAGGAATATTATAAACAACATAAAGTATAGAATACCTATTGTAAAATTATACTAAAAACACATAAGAAAGAAGAAGCTTATAGACCATTAGTGGATTAGTGGATATAATTTAGAGCATTTTTTAAAAAGTAAATTAAATATTTATTCTAATTCTATGTGTAGTATAAAGAATGCAGACCAAGTAGTAAATAAATTAAGCAATTTTAAAAAGAGACAAAATCATAAATCATTGAGTCTAGATGTAAAAAGTATGTATCCTTCTATTAATTCGAAAATGATAGAAATTAGCTTATTTAACCTACAAGTAGAAGATTGGATAATTAGGCTTATAAAGTTCACTTATACTAATAATTATTTTGAGATTGATAAACAAAAAGATGGAATCAGTATGGGTTCAAAGATAGAACTGAAATTGGCAGAATTAGCAATGATAGAAGCAGATAATTTCATAATGAATATCAATGGAGTCAAATTGTGTTTTAGGTATGTTGATGACTACCTCATAATATTTAAGAGCTGAAAACTACAGAAGAGAACATTGTTAACCAAGATAACCTTTGGAATACCAATATACAGTATGATTATGAAAAAGAAAATAATAGTACAGTAAGTTGAACTATTTCAATTTAACTACAGGTAACCCCCGTATAACACGGTAGTTACGTTCCAAAAAATTGTTGTGTTATGCGAATCCGTGTTATACGAAACAAAGAACTAATAC